AAAAAGCAAAAAATTCTAAAGCTATGACAATCCCATATACATTCAGTTACTTTTTTATTCGTAACTTTTTTTTAACTCAAGCCCGATTACTAATTTAATCTCCTTCATTCATTGTCATCTTATGGACACTTTTATTATTATTATTATTATTATTATTATTATTATTATTATTATTATTATTATTCAGTTCTGGTTTAACGCGAACCATTAATTTACACAGATAAGATCTGAACTAAAGATTGGACGAAATAATATTATTTTGTTTAAGGTTGTAATAAAAAACAACTGAACACAAGATTTGGAACTGCGTGCTCGTCAACTTTTTAAACTCGTCAAAATAGAAATTTATCATTTTGTCAATGATGAGTAGAATTCGTTCGCTGCATCAAAATTACTTTCTGTCAATAGTTCTAAGCAAGGTTAATTTTCCTAATGCTCTTAGTTTGTCACTTATCTTATTGAATTATCGAAATTGCCACAGGTTGAATTATAAAAAGGGATCTGAACAAAATTATGTAACAGTTGAAAAAAAAGTGTATTCAATTCAATATTCCTCTAATTCAACTAATCTTGTAATCAGCGATCGACGCCCGTTATAGAAATTGAAAAAAAAATCTCATTATTCGTCGCAATACGTAGACGACGGAAAAAAGTCGAGATTATGTTTCCTATTGTACTCGTGGAAGACCGCGTCTAGTTTCTGTGAACAAAGGCTGCACGTGCGTTCAACAGATCTATGATTAGTGCTAATCGTTTCTTAAAGCTCGGGACGCAATGCATAGAGAGACATTTAATCTTATCACGCGAGATGGAGGGATTGTTTCTTTACAACACTTTCAAGCGCGGGGCAATCTGGATCAGCTCCGCTTGATTGAATTGATTACGGCGCCTGCGACAACTCAACAAGTGCTTGCGTTTGGGGACGGCGAGTCTACCGCTACGTCTGCCAGTAGTTTAAAGTTCACTATGCCCTCAGTATAACTCTATTGTTGAATTGAGCACTTTGATATATCTATGGCAAAGAAGTTAAGTCTATCGATGATGTTAATTTATCTTATATCAAAATTTTCAAAGTTGTTTTTTTTTTCTGTCGTAAAAAAGGTAACATCAATTTCGTTTAAATAAAATTATCAGACTCCCGTCTAATGAATATTGCCACGCACTTTTTCACTTTCTTAATCACTAGATATGATACATTAAGAAAAAGAAAAAAAGAAAAAAATCAATTATTCGTCAATTTTTTTCTATTTTTTTTTAATTTTTTTATTATTATTATTATTTTTTATTTATTTATTTATTTTTTTGTTAAACTTTTATCCACAAACAAAAAATGAATTTTATCTGGATAATTTATTCTTTCTATCTATTTGCTTATTTCTTCTCAAATTGAAAGGAATCAAAATTTCAAACCTTTTTGCTCCAAGCGTTCCGGCTCATCAAATATTTTTCCAGTAGCTTAAGTCACTTTGTGAAATCGTTATTAACGAAGGCATTAAGTAATTGATTCAGTGAACAAATACAATTACGTAATTAACGGGACACGTAAGTCAATAGCCACGGCATTGTGTAAAAAAGGAAAGAGGGAAGGAAAGAGGAAGGAAATTAACAAAGGTTGATTTCTATGCGGTCTTTAGAATGGCATTCTTGAAGACTACAGCATTTCCGATATTACAGATTATATGGTTATGTTCATATATGTCTATTCACTGAATAAAAGGGAAAATTATGTTTTTTTTTTTTTTTTTTTTTTTTTTTTTTTTTTTAAGTGCCTACTGTGGATTGGGGAATTTACGTGCCAAAGACACTGGGCCTTTTGAAATGTATCATCTTGGTGCTCATTTTCAGTAATTTACAGTAGTAGTAGTGGTAGTAGTAGTAGTGGTGTCGAAATAAAGGTGACTCAAGCCCGAATGTGTGTTGTTTTAAACGTATTTTATATGTAGATAAGACCAAGTTTATGATGCACTCATTAAGATTCATAGGAGTAAAAAGCGCGTCGGATACGAACCAGAAGTTTTTTTTTTTTTAATTTCATTTTTCCTTCATTTTCCTCAGATGTCAACTATGAAGCATGATAAGGCAGCAGCTTATAAATAAGTCATAGTTTTTAATGAAAAAAGAAATAAAATAGTAAATTCTGGTACAAAGCATATTACTGCCTAATGTAATACGAGCATGGAAGGCCAATGTGATGACACCCTCGCCATGAATTATAGTCATCAGGGGCATTGCCTAACTCTCTGTACATATATATTCTAATATATTAGTTGATTCATTTGACGTTTTAGTCAGTTTTTACTGCAGAAAAATCAGAAAAGGAGATACGTGTATCACACGGGAACATCACTAAATGACTCCTCACTTACGTAAGGTTTTATATCATTTAAATAGAAGACTAGCTATCGTCCCTGATTGTTTACTGTGGAAGTTAATGTCCACACATGGATCAGTTACACCGCTTGCGGTCATTTGCACTGTAACACGAGGATTGAGTTGCAGAAATCATGGAAATGAGACACTTCACTTTACGTCTGCAAGTTGAGTTTCATTATTAAGATTATTAGCCCGGCACTTATTCATGAGAGAAATTGGAAGGAATGTATCACTATGGAACCGTGGTACTTTACTTGGCTAAAGGTAATAATTAATAATAAGGCTGGTATAATATATACTTTCAGTCTAATTATTTGTTTGTTTGTTTTTTTTAGTTTGAGGTCATTCTCTAATAATAGGCCAGTATGTGATAACTGTCCACTAAATAAGGAAATTTTGCTGATAATATAATTATTTAGCTATTATTGTCGTTACACATTTTAATTTTAGCTATTTATTTTTATATTTCTTGTTTTTATTGTTTATTTATCTATTTATTTATTTATTTATTTATTATTTATCTTATTTGAAGCAAGATCCCCACGAGAGCCTCTTTAAAATTCAGCCGAAGTCGATGGAGCCAAGATACCACCACTCCAATAGAAATGACACAAAGTGGTGCAAAGCTTTGATAATAAAAGCAAAAGATAAAAATTAATTAAATATTACCATATGTCATCGAAAGCTTTTAATCTTGGAGTGGTTGTGATTTAAAAGTTGCATTATTAAAAAAATTAACAATTAAAGGGATAATAACTCTTCGTATGAGATCTATATTTCTCAATAAAAACATTGTGAATAACTCACAGAAATATAATATATTCTGTTTTACCACAAAAACGGCAGTTATAGCTATTATTCTGATATCTGAGCTTGTCTTTAGACCACGTGACCTCCATTGATGGCTATACTCTGTTAAAATCTCTTAAGAGATTTTAACAAAAAACCAAACTTTTTAGAAAAAAACCAGGGACTAACTTCGAATGTAAAAATGGATTCATTAACCATTGGTAAGTATGGGAAAATTGTTGTTTACTCCAGGAAAATTCATTTTTTGGCCGAAACGAAGAGTTATTATCCCTTTAATCAAACCATTTATAAAAGGGGTCTGTCTTGACGAAGCCGGCAGTGCTTTTCATATTTAAGGAGCATAACATCAAAATGATGAGACTATAATACATTAGCAATTAGCGCAAAATATATGAACTCCCCTGGATTAAGATCATCTCGATAATCTTTCGATTCGAGTCAACAGTAACCTTATGGCCATCTCAACATATTCCGTTAAAAGCAGTATCATTTTACACCTCCCCACGAGCAGTTAATAGTCAGAGACGAGATTTTTTTGTTCGGCGACAATACCATTTCTCCGCTCCATTCTGCCTCAGCCAGGGATACGTGCGAACTTAATTAGCGCTGCACGTGCGCGCTAGCCACACAAAGTCCCGCCGCCATTGTGAATCCCTGCTCGCGGCGGGGCGGCGTTGATAAGGCAGGCCTCGGCTCATTCAGCGTCTCCCGTTAGTTTTCGTATCGGGACGTGGGCGAGGTAGCCGAAGAAGCAATCTATCACGAGGCCGCGTGCGCCCGTATGCGAGAGTCAAACCTCGACGCCGCTCAGGGCGATTAAAAATCGATCTAAGCTAATTCGCTTGTTACTCACGCAAGTGTGCGTCTTGTGATTCTTTGTGAATGCGATGTCTTGGGAAAATAATTCTTCCTGTTAGGCACATTAAAGGAGCGTTTTGCGGTTTCGACACTATGTTGACAAGACATGTTGTATCCTTTATGTGCCGTGCTTCAGTGTGCAGGGTGCCCCTATGGACTTCTCTAGATAAATAGCCCTACATCTATCTTTCCCGATGTTTGCTTGTTTCAAAATTTATCAAATTTGAAAGATTTGGAAAGATTTTGAAAGATCTGATAAATTCAAAATCAAATCTCTCTCTTTTAACTGTGCAAAGAAATGACTGCTTGCCATTCATCGGCTTGTTTGTCAAAAGTCGAAATTCGAGATTAGCGACGAAAGATGAAAAAGGCGCAAGGTGATAACAAAATTCATTCACAGCTGAAATAGTAATTAAAAATATAGTAATAATAATAATAATAATAATAATAATAATAATAATAATAATAATAATAATAATTCATCGTGCCTTTGATGATACACATGGTACATCAGTAAGCTTCCTATACTACGGTTAAAGGGATAATAACTCTTCGTATGAGATCTATATTTCTCAATAAAAACATTGTGAATAACTCACAGAAATATAATATATTCTGTTTTACCACAAAAACGGCAGTTATAGCTATTATTCTGATATCTGAGCTTGTCTTTAGACCACGTGACCTCCATTGATGGCTATACTCTGTTAAAATCTCTTAAGAGATTTTAACAAAAAACCAAACTTTTTAGAAAAAAACCAGGGACTAACTTCGAATGTAAAAATGGATTCATTAACCATTGGTAAGTATGGGAAAATTGTTGTTTACTCCAGGAAAATTCATTTTTTGGCCGAAACGAAGAGTTATTATCCCTTTAACGTAAGTACATGTAAAAATGATATATAATGTACTGTATTTCCAATTAAATAACGTAAAATTAAATACCCTGCACAGCAGAGTAGGAGTAAAAAAGTCTTGATTTATTCAGTCCGACTTTGCGAGTTGACGGTGCAATACAGTGCAATAAATAATGACAGTGCCTTCGATGAAACCCAGTAATGTAATACATTAACAATAAATGTGTATAAATCATAATTATTTGCCATAAGCCAAAAAAAATTACATAAGTATGTATGATAAAGGGGATACAGGTGCTTCTTTGAAATAACTGACTTTCTGTGACTGGACTTCAATGTAACCAACATGTGGCCTAAAAAATTCAACCTCTGTATATAGCAACTTATTTTTAACATTTACTAAATAAAAAGTGAAGTTTAATGTGGTAAATGAGAACATATGCCGGTTTTCCCCTTATATATATTACTAAAAACTGAAAATTTCCATTTCCAAACTAAAGACTATAGCAGGTATAAAATTATTAACATTCACCAATATATGATATTGGTCAATTTGATATAATAAGAAAACTACATTAACTCTTGAATCCCACAACATGGGCTTGTCTTGGCAGCGAGGTCAGGCCATTCCCTGGTGGCAACTCTTAGCACTTGCCGGACTGATCATCAACTGGTACAATGTCAGCACCTTGTAATCTTCACATCCACAAATTCACAACATAAATGTACAGGTTTTAATGCTATGCAGGTATTCAAAGTGGCATACGTCCCACTCACCTATAAAAATATCCAATGCATCATTTTTGTCACTTGTGTTTGTTTGTTTTTATTGTTCTAGGCCAGTCTGACAGAGGTATACAGTCAACAGTTATGTCAACATGTATTCTCTCTGTTACCCTGTAAAGACTAAATACCTAAGTTACTTCTCCAGGCCTCTGCAGACATCTTGACTTTAGACTGACGGTTGGCCTCAACTTTGACACCAAAATGTTTGTCTACACAATACTTCATTGAAGGATAAACTGGTACATGTAGTAGTCCACTGTAGTAAAGTAACTATCAGTCTTAAACTTGAACAATTTCTTTCCAGTCATAAAACAGGTGCAGCATTTCAGTGAACGAACAACTACTGACATCATCAGACATCAAAGTAGGCTAAAATTTTGGTCTCAAAGTCTGAACCAACTTTCCATCTTAAAGTTCCCTTGTAGGACCAGACCCTCTTGACACAGAAAGTGGAGTCCTTGACAACCCTCATACCAAGAAAAATAATCTCTCTCCCTCAGTTGCTGGAGATGCATAATATAAAACAGATGTCCTATTTGAGTCTTTTCACTGTTGCATCAAGAGTTGTGGAGTAACACATTCGTTGCCATGGAAACATCATTGTTTGTAGCTCTCAGCGCCTCTATCACATTCTCCCTCACAAATCCCATTTCCACCAATGTCTGCACCTGGGAAAGAATGAATAGTCATCTGACACAAATCTGTCCCCATCATGGCAATTAAAAGCACTGAAAATGTTACGATAACTTTGGAACAAGAGTCATTACTATCAAAGTCATATAATCAGAGATGAGAGCGATCCCTTTAGAAAAAATCCTGAAAAAACAAATGAGGCATGGGGCTTACATACAACACTGAAATATCCAGATTTAAGGTTTAATTCAGGTGACTCTCATCTCTAAATAATCCCTGTGATATAGGTAAAAAAAAATCAAAAGTGTTACCAGGCTGACAATTTGCAACATTCATTGTGAAATGTTAGAGAACTAAACACAATGCACTGGTAAGTGAAAACGGTCTATAAGGTCCGACAATATCTCAAATTATTACAAGATTTTTCTTTGAAAAGATGGCAAACATTTCTTACCTGCTCTTCTTGCACTGCAGGGGCTGGCTGGTTATGACCTGGCAAATATAATACATCTTTAAAATTGATTCCAGTGTAAGATAATAACATTATTAACCTTCCTTCATTTATTTTTCATTTGCACTAAATTAGAAATAGACAAGAGTGGTAGCTTTCTGATCAGAAAATATGAATATTTATGATCATATTAATACCCCTAAAATCAATCTAGTTACTAGTTAACAAACACTTACCTTGCCTTGGCTGTGCACCACCATCAAACAAGTTACCAAATATCCCTGCCTGGAAAATAACAAAATTTCACTCCAATTATTCAAACTGCCAGTCAGATTGATACCAGTGTCAGGACATTTGATGGAGAGTTTTGAATGAGCCAATTTGATTTTAGTCAGTGTAAGAAAAGTATTAAAGACACGATCACAACTGATTTCTTGGAGCACATCAAGCCAATAAAATGCCCCTGTCTAACTTTCTGTAATAATTAATAGGGATCACCCAAGATGGCCCAAAGTCTTGCCACCTAGCATAAAGTTAGGTGAGAATTCTTAAGAATTAGAGGAGAGTAGTGTCAGAAATCACTACAGACAAGGGAGTGTGTTGAAGCAATAAATATAAGCTGGGAAAATTTTTCTGCAGATATTTTTCTGGTTGATATCTCTTAAGTTCTTTCAAAGTAAAGACTTCTGCACAACAGCAAAGATTCACCATGTATTGCATGTCACTTTTGTATTGTTTTCTAAGACTACATCTCAGCTCATAATATTCTAAGGGTTAGCTCCACCTCACAAACATTTTTGCACACATTTTTAAGTCTCATGAAATGCCACGATCTGAGGCTACCTCAGATAATCCCCCATTAAAAAAACATTTACCCCTCTGGGTTGAAAGGCCATGCCTCCCATGTTCCTCATCTGTCTAAACTGTTGCCTGGCTAGCTGCTCCTCCAGCAGCTCAATCTCTTGTTGTCTCTGGAGTTCTAGCGTGGCGCCAAGAGGAGTGTTTATTTGCTGAACTGTCTCAGTTTTGACGAGCCGTCCCAAAGTCTTGTCAGCTATACCAGCCACAAAATTTGGGACGTGAAACCAGTCCTTGATTTTTAAAAAGTTTGCTTTGTAAAGTAATCCTGATATCTGTGAATACAAAGAAATAAAGCAGGATATGAAGCTATATTCACATAAAATGTATTTTATGGGTTTCGATTAATTTCAATGTATATGTCACAGGTCAGATCCCAATCTAGTCCAGTTACTAACTGGACTTAACCAGATCCCAATTGACTTCTACCTTTATTTCCTTTGCTTTATATTATCACAGTAACCTCCAATATGAAAAGAATTCAACAATTATTCAAAAATTTCACAAAATGTGTGACCCAGAGTGGTACTTCACTGTGGAATGACCCTCCTATAACTTACCAGACCACAGCCGGCCACTAGGACTGACTCTATGGACGTGCTGGCTATCTGGAGGTCAAGAGAAAAAGTATGACAGTGAAATAAAAATGCATGATGACAGAAACAGATAACAGGAAAATTAATGCTGAGATTGCTCCTGAAAAACATTACTTGTAAGTACAAGTATCTACAAGACAAGTATCTATCTCACACACATGCACGCAAGTGCACACGCACACACGCACGTAGTAGATGACTCATGTTGTAACTGCGGCCTGTGGATTTATATGGTGCAATAATTGAACTTAAATATCACTTTCAAGAGGGCAAAGCAATGCATGGAATGCAATGAAATCTACTGAAACACAAGCAAGTGAACACCTCTTGTAATCAATAATCCTACAATTGAAAGTGGTCTTTACTTAAGAAAATGTCTATCGTTCTATACCTTGTAACATGTTTTTATTATACATAGTCATAGTTAAGTCCCTATAAAACTGCAAATGTACTGGCAATATCTCCAGTGACAGATGTGTGAAATATTTCACATAACACTCACCTGGAAACCTAAGATATATGTGAAAGTCTTCCCTGTGACAGGTATGCCTAGTATATTGGTGACAGCCACTCTGGGAATGTCACAGAAGAATGGAACAAAGAGAGGGAACAGGAAAGAAAGCCTGAAGCACAAGAATTATTTACCTTCAAAACACTGGTAAAAATTCCACTGTGGTTGTGAATGATTCAATATTTGCACTGTTAATATGTTAGAATAGCAACTGTAGAAAACAAAGGGGCTAGAAATTGCTTAGTTGGTTAACAAGTGAGACTAACTTTTTTTTTTTTTTTTTTTTGAGGAAATCATGATATTAAAATAAAATAAATCACAATTACTTCTCATCTATCCACTAAATTCGAGTGAAAAATTATGGAAAAAACAACAAACACGGATGGCTTAATAACATTCTGTAATCTGATAATAAATTCCAGCACAAGAATGGATAAAGACTTTGTGAACACTTTCACATGATACTCACGGTCCTGTGGGCAAACTGTCTAAATCTAATTCTGCCTTCTTACAACAGTACAATGCTGCCAGCTCCAGGAGAGAGGCTAGGAACCCAGTCGCCAGTAAGTATGACTGAAATATAGGCATAACAATATCACCATCACTTCTGCTGTGTGGCTCAATCCACTGACTAACAGGATAAAGTGTGCACTATTGTTATCAAATAGTGAACAATCTGATTTTTATCAAATTTGATAGAATATTCACATTTTAAGAAAATTCTGTTTATGCATTAAGGTGTTCCTTCCCTACAGTATTAAATACAAAGAAGAAGAAGAAAAAAAAGAATATAAATAAATAAAAGGACATACACAATACTTCTGGGATCCAAGCTTCCTCTCAAAAATCCTCCAGTAAAAGATGAGTATGGCACCACAGACGAGGTCCTTGGGGTCCAGAAATACCAACTTAGATGTGATCAACCTCCACAGCTGAAGTGTATATTGGAGAACATAATGTTGAAACATTTAGCTTGGTGAAACTACAAACAATTAAAATGATGCACGTTTTAATGGATGCTACTGATTACAAGACTTACCAGTAAGAGAATCATGAAATCACTTACGAGAACCATTTGCTAACATCAAAGAAAGATTTATCGTATGTCAACATGCCTGCTGAACAAATCTGACCAGAAAAAGAACACAAATTAAATGAACTTAAATAAAGATAATTATTATCATTATCCAATGGCTTTACCTCTAGTTTGTCAAATATATCCTGATATGTTTAAATTAATAAAATCTACAAATTACAAAAATGAAGAGAATCGTGGAACCGCTTTTAAGAAATATTTACTTATATTAAAGAAGGGTGTTAAGTGTATCAACATGACTGCTTAACAAATCTGACAAGGCAAAAAAACAAATAATTAACATCTAATAAAGATAATAATTATCACTATCCAATGATTTTAAGTTAACTGTACCTCTAGTTTGTCAAAAATATCCTGATATGTGTATACAAACAGGTGTCTGACGTGGTGCAGTGGCAGAGACACGGCCAGGGAGGTCACTATCACAGAGCTCACAAATACTTTACTTACTGGGAGGTGGTCTGGAATGAAATAGTATACAATCAGTGACAGGAATTTATGGTTTTGATGATCTAGGAAAGGTTGAAAACTGGACATATTATAAACAAAATTTTAAATTGCGTTTGTTTAAAGTCAGCAAAGGATGGCAAGATGACCTGTATGCGATGTCTAAGAACGAGGGTTTAGATTTTTTAGAAGCTCATCAGATTTTTTGGGGAAATTTGGGGAATATATATTTTATTTTATTTTGGTTATTTGAAGACCTAAATTTTATTTGTTACCCCCCCCCCACCCCCCACCCCCACCACCACCACCCCCATTCAAATGTCAGAAGGTAAATTTCTACTGCATAGGCCTTGCAAGANCCCCCACCACCACCCCCATTCAAATGTCAGAAGGTAAATTTCTACTGCATAGGCCTTGCAAGAAGCATAGCATCAATATGTGTTATTTATATTACATGCACCTGTGGCCTAAAAATCTATCAGTTTGCCTACTGCAAATGAAAAAAACTCTGGTTGGGAAAATCCTAGAACCAAAATTAAATTGTGTGTTTATGTCTAGCTACGTTACTGATTAGTGCCTGATCATCCTATACACTTGAATCGTTACTTACAGAAACCAACACTCCTACTTGTCGAAAACATTGCAGTAAGTTGGACAATCGCTACCGCTGTCCAAGTTTTGACACTGTTATTGGTGCTGAAAGGAGAAACATCACCTCGCGTACGACATTACTTCCGGTAGTATCGTGGGAGAGCAATGGCAACCGATACTATCAAAGCGATAAGAGATGGAACGTGACATACCTGTATCAGACCTGCCACCTGAACCTGTAGACGAATTCTTTACACCAGAAATTGTATCAGTAATTTTGTTCCTTTTGTCACTGCTAGAAACTTTTGTTGAAATTTCAGTATTTATTGAGAATTATCACTTTTTCCCCAAAAATCATTTTTTACATGGATTGATGTTGTATTTTATTTCTAAAAGAAAATATAAATAAGCTTTTAATGATTGTACAGACATCTAGACTGCCCTGTCTTATTGTAGGAAGAAAATATCGACAGTTACGTTTTAACGTTATAAAGGTCTGGATTGGAAAGATGGGCCTTTATACATGTAGTTTTGCAAAATACGTATAGACACAGAAAACCTGACAAAATATAAAGTATTTGGATTTCTTTCAATATTCACATTCATATTAGGCCCTATATCTAAAATTATTTCTAACGCACGCCCAAGTGTTTAATGCGTTTGAACATTCCCAAAATACGTAAACTTTTGTCTCCGTGAGATGAATTTCTCAATGACAAATATGATAGAAGTTTCCACTTTCTCCATAATAACTAATAACATTTGGCTTGTTAGGTTTACAGGCCTACTTAATGCCGCAGTGATCCAACGAACCGTTACTCGTGCGTAGTTAAGACGGTCATATTTTTTCTTGGTGCAACGGGCGTAAATAGTGAGAGGAGTTATCCTTCCATGGCAAATGGACGCCAGGGTTTGCGGTAAATGACACACATAGCGGAACAAATTTATGACCCGTTGGTGCAACCAGGCCCAGGTGGATACGAGTCCCATTTGTATCTTTTATAGTAGATTTTTGCTAAGTACTTCCTTCAGGCAGTAAACAAAATTATTCAGAACTTATTGATATACAAGAGCCTTTTCCTAAGTATTTCCTTGTTGCCATAAATAGCGACATTTCCTCCTAATTGATAAACAAGTTCAACGACCCATCATTTACAAACGCTAAATCTTTCACTTAAAGGTAGGCAACACATCAACATAAATATTAGTTAAATCTGTAAAACTATTCATCTAATATAAGAATAAGACTTATTAATACCGTGATGACCGTAATCTCTGGTCACTATTTCGTTGCGAGGGTGACTAAAAACTAAAAATTCATATGATGGTAGGCCTATATGATTCGTAATTTTGTGAACGACTTTTGGATATAGTATTCCATCGGCAGTGGCATATTTAGTTGGAGGGGTCAGGGATTCCTTAATCCCCCCACCCCCACCATTTGGTTTCTGAAAAAAATTGCACTTATATTCCCCTCTTGAAATTAGAGTTTTAATTAGCTGAGTTATAGTTCTAAACCGTTCCAAATGGCACCGTTTGACCTTCAAAATAGGCCTACCAAAAGTTTTTGGGGCCCTTCAGCGCGCCCTAAACCCTACCACAAGGGGGGCGAGGGTCGACTTCAAATCCGAGGCCTGTCATTCGTAAAAAAAACTAACCCCTCCCCCTTCAAATCCTGGTTCTGCCCCTGTCCAACCACCTGTTTATCACATTCAGTAGATAAAAATTATATCTCATTTACAAAATTATTTGACAGATACGTTTTTCTCAAAATTCGCATCGTGTTAATGTTGCATTTGCTTTTACAACAAGAAGTGCCGTCTTCTCAGCAAGAAGTCACGTCGCCCTTATTGCTTTACCCAAACATTCGTTTTTTCATGCCCACCCCTTTGAGCCTCTGCTTATCAAGACATTTGATCATACGGTGCATTGTTCATCCCCACAGTCGGCCTGGGGTCGGCTTCAAGTATCCGAGGCTTGTCATACCTAAAAAATATCGGACCCCCATTCAAATAATCCTGATTCCACCACTGGATAGACTGTCAATTTAATGTTTGGCTACTACGTAAGATTGTCACCTGAACGGCTGACTTTTGGGTGCCTTGAGGCCTGTGAAAGGGGACGAATATCCTGTAAGAGCCCGGTAAAGTGGCACGGTAAACAGTGGCGGATTTAGGGGGGTGTGCGAAAAAAATCAATCAATGACTAGAACTTTGACTAGCTGAATCATAGTTATAAACCGTGCCAAATGGCATCGTTCGCCCTCAATGTCGATTCATTGTTCACCCTCGGTCCTTTCAGTGGGCCCCGGACCCGACGCCAAGGGGGGGGGGGGGGAGGGGGGGAGTGTCCCCCCCCCCCCCTCCCCGCTTCAAAAAATCCTGGATCCGCCCCTGCATTGATGATTTTAGGAACAGTGTAGAAATTTTCATGACGGTTTTTCATAGATCCCTTTATAATGGTCTAACGTTAACTGCGTGCCTTAAGTACAATTTCCTCACGTTTTCATTTGGTAAATGAGAAGCCGCCGATATCTCTTTGAGGTACGCACGACATTTATAAAATTAATTTTCAATATGTGATTTCCACGTACAACAGCAAAAAAACATCTATCATTTTTAAAACGTGATTAAGACAAAGTCAAAGGAGCCAACGGTAATCCACCAAGGGAGATCGACAAGTACGGAATGCTTAATTTGCCTTGAATGCATTAATAAATTACCTATCATATTGGATGGATTTCAACTTTTTTATTCTTAAAAAATATTTAATGAGAATAATAAACAGAAAGTTACGTGGGACATCTCTGAAACACATGGATGTCGAAGAAAATTGTTATTCAGAAATCAGTAGGAGTAATGAAAAAACTCATAATCCCTTTTTTATTAGTGATTCCCCTCGTCACTTTCATCCTATGTATCCAATCAAAACGTTTAATGAAATTTTGACTAGCTTCTCTGAAGATCTCAAAAATTGAGGCTTTATATTCAGTAACTTCCAGATACAGTGTATGTCGTTTAATGCAAACAGTTGCAGATCTTGCATATCAATTAAACCAGCAATTAATTTTTCTTTTTCAGTCTCACACATAAACATTATCTATCCATTTATTTATTTTCATTTCTTATTTTTCATCTATTTATTCATTCATTTTATTTTATTTTATTTTATTTTACTTTATTTTTTGATAGACGAATCAAAACATATATAAATCATGTTGTTTTTGCCATATCTTGTAAATGATCCGTTAAGCATCGCTAAATAATGACTCATTTTAATTTACAATCGACACTTTTCTCTTTTATTTCCTTGACGAATTGTATAAATACGACCCTTTCAAATTCCAATAAACAGAATTTCTTCTGTGAGTTTGAAGCGCTGCGACAGATAAGCAAAGGTATTGTTATTTCATTTTTGTTTTATTTTTTCATTCATTCATTTATTTTTACCTCTTATATAGCCTGCGGTGAGGAAGACAAAATGGTTTAGTAGTTTAATTGGAGTTCAAGATGGCCGTCGTCTATTAGATTCTTTAATGACACACGTAATTTCTGCTTGCTTTGACTGGTTGCTTGATGTTTGTTGATATTAGCAAAAATGCATGTAGGTTATTATACATAGATAGAAGCCGGATTGACCATGTGCACATTTGAATGCGTAAAGGTTTATAGCTTAAAATTTGAAAATAGATGGCAGGCGAACAGGAAGATTTCCTTTGGCGGCAATTTTATCTTTATTGATTTTTCTTAATTCATTTTGCTCATGGGCAAATCGTCGTAAGTGTCCAGCATTTCTGGTATTGCACGACCTTAGTGGGCAGTTAAAGGTCCAATATGACAAACCCCTTCGCAGATTCAGACAGCGTTGTATTCAGTCATGCCCGTAGCCAGGGGGGGGTTCGGGGGGTTCAAAAGAACCGCCCTTTTGCTGTGAAAAGGTCCCCTCTGGGTAAAATTTGATCTAGGTAAATTAAGTTTTTATGGAAAAAAGTCCACTTTTTCAGAAAAAGAACCCCCTTTTGAAATTGCTAGCTACGGGCCTGTCAGTGTACATTATGAGGGCAGGTTGGCAATAGTGAGCAGGTTTGAATAAATCCTAAAATGTCAACAGTAAACCTTCCCCACTGCGAGCATATTTGTTTTTTTTTTTTTTTTTAATTATTAATTGTTCTTGTCTTTCAGAGAAAAAACGCCGTGATGACGAAGTTTCTGGCAAGCCTTTTAGTGCTTGGCCTTATGGGGCTGACTGCCGTGATTGGACAAGAAGAACGATTCCCCTCAAATCCAGACGGCGCTATATTCCGAACAACTCTCGAGGGCGGAACGTCGGTAGTGACCGGGTATTCAACAAACCAAGCCACATCACCGGATGGCAAATCCTACCCAGCGTGAGTGTATTCACATCTGGGTCTTCTTTGATTGGAGAGCACGCGGTGTGCTGAGCCTTTATATTAACTGACGTTTTTTGTATTTTCTTTCTGTCTTTATTCCTTCTTTTTGTATTGTTACTTTTTTGCTTCCTTTCTCTTTATCCCTTTTTTATTCCATTGTTATGTATCATTACCATTATCCGTACTAGTCTTTCTCAAAACATTACTCATCGTTTAATAACAACATCAAGATATATATATATATTTTTTTTTTGTAACATAGGCCTACTGTTCTATTTCAATTTGTTTTCTGGCATTTTATTCTGTGATCTATTTTAAAATGCACGTGCACATTTTATTTCAAAAGGGTGGTCAGGGAGCATAGCGAATTCCCCACAAGAGCACCATTGGGTGGTGAGGACTCTCATCCACAGGACGGCGTCTCTGAGAATACAGGACAGGTTAACCCGAGGGCCAAGCGACAGGCCAGGTACACAAACTCAAGACATACATTATTTTCGTCTTTTCCTGCTTATGGCAGCTCTGGTTTGAGTAAGGGTGGGGTTGGGGAAGCTCTTCAAAACCTCCTGCTTAACTTCACAGGTACATTGTACGCCCCCCCCCCCCCTCCCACCCCTCCAAAAACAGTTTAATCAAATTAGGGAAGCGAGATAAAAATTAAGTATGTTTGACCTACATACATGTATTTAAGTAAAATTGGTCTCGTCTACAATAGTATATTATCACCTTTAGCAACGCCCGTCAGAAAAAAATCTGGATCCGCCAGTGGATTGATAAATTAACAGCTGAAAAGATCAGCAGTTATAAAACTTGTATAAGTAGAAAATAATTGCAGAAATCTTGACATGTTTTCCAGCGATCTTGATGCTTTCTTAGCAAAGGTGATGTATTTTAATATTTTTATATTCATTTATCTATCTAATCATTTTATTTAATGTTCCGTTTTAGTCAAAATTATATATATATGCCTCTATTTAGATATCATTTACACAGCTTTGGTATGATTAGTTTGCCAAAAGTAAGAAAATGTTCGAATTTATTTCATCTGTAGATTAGTTCAAAACACAGCATCTTTTAAATATATACTTATTAACTAGTAATCATTTCATGTTTATTTGTCCATTCTAGTCTCTTCAGTCCTTGCCGGATGGTGCTCTACTGGGTCAGACCGTGGTGGGTGTACTGGGGAAATATTTGGTGGCCTGTCATGAACTCCCCCTGGTGGGGATGGCACTGGTATCACTGGTGGTATTGTCTGTAAGTTTTAATTATATTATCTTAATTCATATCGTACGTTAGAAATTAATGATACAGTATAGGTATTGAATTGTCTCGTGCCTACTTTCATTTTCTATATCTTTCTCCAGTGTTAATTGCTCTTCTTCGCAAATTTAAAATACTATAGAAGAATTGACTATAGGGTCTTTTGAGGGATTTTAAAAATCTGCACTTAGACCAATATTTTATTGGTTATGGAAGGTTCAAGAGGGACAGTTTGGTGAGAGAATGTTGTCCTAAAATTTACACCTTTAGAAACTTGAACACATTTTGTTAAGTATAAGTGCGGTGTCCTTCATTTCCATTGATAGCACGGTGTGTCTAGGACCCCATTTCCAGAGATTAGATCGATCTACTTTAGATCGACCTACCTCCCTGGGGGTTCACGCTAAATAGCTGTTAGCCGAGCGAACACGAAAGTTAATTACCCCCTTACAGCTGGTAGTAGGCGGGACGGACATTTAAGCCGGATTATCTGACAGTAATCTAGTGAGACTCCCCGCGGTGATAGATCGATCAAAAAGCTCTGGGAATACAGCCTAGGTGAAGTGCTGATTTGTAGCCTCATCTTTTTTCATACCCAAGACTACGAGCATTAAAAAATCCACAAGGGCAATAAAGTCATTTTTTTTCAATGCAAATATGAATTGCCACAGTTGCCTTCTTGATTTGGGATGGCCAAACAATAAATGAATAAAACAGGATAAGCTTTATGTACATATAATGTGCTTTCAGTGTTTCAATTGATTTCAACTTAGAACTATAAAATGATATTTTATTATGTGTATCAGATTCAGTCACTATAAGTGGGAAACTGTGAACAACATTTGGTTATTTTATTTATTTATTTTTTTTTTCAGACCAAGTCTATGCAGAGCCGGCATTTATGACGGAAAGACTTTAAGATATCTGTGCTCGCGTTGTAGAACGGAGTGGGGCTGGATTCGTGTACCGATATGGTATTACTGGAGCCCACGTTGGATTTGGATCCGCGCACCTGTCGGGTGTTGCTGCGACATTAGGAACCAGTGGTGGTGCTGAGGCACAGGCCACGTGACGTCACGTCGTCCGATCGTCCTCAATATCAATACGTGAACGCTTGGTTGTATATTGCTTTGTAGCACTGAAGTACAAGTCAATAGACACTTTTGAAAGAACAATCGGTACAAATTCCTCATCTCATGTAATCTACCGCGTATCTTAGTCTGAAATTCAGAACAGGCTAAACTTGGACTTTTGACTTTTTGCATTTAAAGCAGATCGTTTGATATTTTTGTTTTTGACCCACTGGGCTTAAATACATAGTATTGTGCAACTCTCTCTCTCTCTCTCTCTCTCTCTCTCTCTCTCTCTCTCTCTGAATTATCAGTTTAGAAAGAGGCGATTAGACGAATAAAAAATCAAAAATAGATGGCTGTTATGTTGTTGGTTTCCGAATAAAACTAACGATGTCAAAGTACAATGGTTTCCCTTTGTGCAATAACTGTGCAAAACGCCACAAACTACATGATGCATACGTCACCTTCTACAAAGGTAGAATTTGAAAATACTTAAAAATTTTCTTCACATTTAAATGGGGGTGTCCTGAGAGGGGACAGAAGACACGAGCCCCGCATTTAGCTCTTTATAACTACCGAAACGATTATCTTTTCAACGCCCTGACCCCCCTCATTTGACAAAACCCTGGATCCACAAATAAGCTTAATTATCAAATTAACAAATATTCGATCAGTTTAATTGTTTGGTTTTTTTTAAATCGCTTATTTATTTCACTTCAAAAATGAGTTAGCTTAAATATAACGGTTGCTTTAAATTACCTAATTTGAAAGAACCGGAAAGGGTCCGTTTTCAATCAAAATTGATCATTTATCAAGTTGTGTCAATTCAGAGGGTGAAAAAGGTTTTGAAATTGCTTATTAAAGATCAGGACTCTTTTGATGCACCATATTACTCTTATTTGTCTGACAGTTAAAGAAACTGAAAAAAAGAAATATGTAGAGACACAATGTAGACGTTTCTGCCCTCGCAAACAAAGGGAATTTATGTAGCCAAATGTTCACAAGCACAACTAAGCTTTTTCTTTATTATTATTATTATTATTATTGTTATTATTGTTATTATTATTATTATTATTATTATCATTATTGCTCAAAAGTAAATAGGACTAAGGTCAATGCGATTGAAAATTGTCATTTATTAATGACGAAAAATATGATACAAAGTTAAAAAATGGGGGATAATCATACCTACCCATATTATATAATTGATAAAGTAAGTTAATGAGTGCAACCAAGGCGATATATGTGAAACACCGAAAGGTATTGGAGCAAACGTCGGCACAAGTGAAAAATAAAACCCCGAAAAATTTATTTGTTTATGACTAAAAACCAGAAAGTTTGAAATTATCACCCTGAGCTTCAGAGATAACTTGCCNGTGGAAATTATATGACGGTTTATGATTCGTAATTCTGTGAACGACTTTTGGATATAGTATTCCATCGATGATTTAAGGAAAAGTGTAGAAATTTTCGTGTCAGTTAGTTTTTTCATAGATCCCTTTATAATGGTCTAAGTTAACTTGCGTGCCTTTAATACAATACCGTCACGTTTTCATTTTGTAAATAAGACGCTGCGGATCTTCCTTCGAGGCACGCACCACATTTAAAGACCATAAAATTAATTTTCAATTAGTGATTTCCACGTACAACAGCAAAAAACATCTATCATTTTTAAAACGTGATTAAGACAAAGTCAAAGGAGCCAACGCTAATCCACCAAGGGAGATCTACAAGTACGGAATGCTTAATTTGCCTTGAATGCATTACTATATTGCCCATCATATTGGATAGATTTCAACTTTTTTATTCTTAAAAAATAATATCTAATGAGAATAAGTAAACAGAAAGTTACGTGGGACGGCTCTGAAACACATGGATGTCGAAGTAGAAGTTATGAAAAAACTTTTAATCCGTTTTTATAAATAATTCTCGTCGTCATTTTCACCCTATATATCCAAGCAAAACGTTTAATGAAATTTTGACTAGCTTCTCTGAAGATCTTAAAAATTGAGGCTTTGTTTTCAGTAACTGCCAGATACAGTGTTTGTCGTTTAATGCAAACAGTTGCAGATCTTGCATATCAATTAAACCAGCAATTAATTTTTCTTTTTCAGGTTCACACATAAACATTATCTATCCATTTATTTATTTTCATTTCTTATTGTTCATCTATTTATTCATTCATTTTATTTTATTTTATTTCATTTCATTTTATTTTATTTTATTTTTTTGGCAGACGAATCAAGGCCAAAACATATATAAATCATGTTGTTTTTGCCATATCTCGTAATTGATCAATTAAGCGTCGCTAAATGACAACTCATTTTAATTTACAATCGACACTTTTCTCTTTTATTTCCTTGACGAATTGTATAAATACGACCCTTCCAAAATTCCAATAAAAGAATTTCTTCTGTGAGTTTGGAGTGCTGCGACTCATAAGCAAAGGTATTGGTGTTTCATTTTTACCTCCGCCAAGGTGGTTATGTTTTCACCCCTGTCTGTCTGTCTGTTTGTTTGTTTGTCATCAACATAACTCAAAAAGTTATGGACCGATTTTGATGAAATTTTCAGGATAGGTGGGAAATGGGTTAACTTAGAAGTGATTAGTTTTAGGTGGTGATCTGGATCAATTATCAATCAATAATCAATAATAATCAAAAATCGCTGCCACGGCGGAGGTCTGCGCTCTCGGAGTGCCCTTCTAGTTTACTTCTTAAATAGTCTGGGGTGTATAATGCAAAATGGTTTAGTACTTTAATTGGAGTTCAAGATGGCCGTCGTCTGTTAGATTCTTTAATGACACACGTAATTTCTGCTTGTTTTGACTGGTTATTTGATGTTTGCTGATATTAGCAAAAAATGGATGTAGGTTATTTTACATAGATAGAAGCGGGTTTGACCATATGCACACTTGAATGCGTAAAGGTTTATAACTTAAAAATTTAAAATAGATCGCAGTCGAACATGAACATTTCCTTTGGCGGCATTTTTATCTTTATTGATTTTTCTTAATTGATTTTGCTCATCGGCAAATCGTCGTTAGTCTCCAGCATGTCTGGTATTGCTGGAACTTAGTAAGGTCCAATATGACGAAGCCCCTTGCAAAATCAGACTACGTGGTATGCAGTGTACATTATGAGGGTAGATCGGCAATAGTGAGCGGGTTTTGAATAAATCCTAAGATGTCAACAATAAACCTTACCCACTGCGAGCAGATTCATTTTGTTTTATTAATTGTTCTTATCTTTCAGAAAAAAAAATGGGGAAGTTTCTGGCAAGCATTTTAGTGCTTGGCCTGTTGGGGCTGACGGCTGTGGTTGGACAAAAAGAAAATTTCCCCGCAAACCCAGACGGTGCTTTATTCAGAACAACTCTCGGCGGGTCGGCGGTAGTGACCGGGTTCTCAACAAACCAAGCCACGTCGCCGGATGGCAAACCCTACCCACCGTGAGTGTATTCACATCTGGGTCTTCTTTGACTGGAAAGCACGCGGTGTGCGGATCCTCTATGTTAACCTGACGTTTTTTTTTTTTTTTTACTTTCTTTCTGTCTTTCTTTATTTCCTTCTTTGTGTATCGTTACTTTCTTGCTTCCTTTCTCCTTTCTCTTTTTTAATTACATTGTTATTTCACATTACCATTATCCGTATTGGTCTTTCTCAAAATATTACTCATCGTTTAATAAATACATCAAGATATTTTCATTGTAACATATTCAATAATTTTTTCTGGTCTTTTTTCTGTGATCTATTGTAAAATGCACGTGCACGTTATTTCAAAAGGGAGGTCAGGCAGCATAGCGAATTCCCCACAAAACAACCATTGGGTGGTGAGGACTCTCATCCACAGGACGGCGTCTCTGAGATAGGAGGACAGGTCAAGCTGAGGGGGAAGCGGCAGATCAGGTACTCAAACTCGTGACATAATTTCATCGTTTTCCTGCTTCTGGCAGCTCTGGATTGAGTAAGGGTGGGGGTGGGGGAGCTCTTCCAAACCTCCCGCTTAGCTTCAGAGGTACGTTGTACCCCCCCCCCCCCCCAAAAAAAAAAAAAAAAAAGAAAGAAAGAAAAAAACGGCATAATATAGCAAGGGAACAAAATAAAAACCACGTATTTTTTATCCCTGTGATTGTTGTAAAATTGGTTTCTTCTCCTTTATTACCCCCCCCCGCTTCAGCAACCTCTTTCAGCAACAATACCCTGGATCCCCTGAAAAAGATCAGCAGTGAGTTAACTTGTAGAGCCTGATAAAAAATTACAGAAATCTTGATAAGTTTCCCAGCTCTCTTTTGCCTTCTTTGCAAAGGCAGGTATTTTTTCTATTTTCCATTTTTGTTTAGCTACATTATTATTTTATTTTATTTTTTTTTTAATACGAAAATTTGCTTTTGAGTTAATTAATTACGATAAATAATTAAAATTAGGGCCCAGGCCCAAAAATAACCTAAAGTACCTTCGACAGATATTGCTCATATGCCAAAACTCAGAAAATGTTCAAATCAATTTCACCTGTAGTTTAGTTCAGCACTTTTTACATGTATACTTATTGACTGGTAATTATTTCATACATATTTCTCTATTCCAGTCAGATTGGTTTTTGCCGGGTGGTGCTTTACTGGGTCAGACCTTGGTGGGTTTACTGGGGAAATATTTGGTGGCCTGTCATGAACTCACCCTGGTGGGGATGGCACTGGTATCACTGGTGGTACTGTCTGTAAGTTTTTATTGTATTATCTTAATTCCTATTGTACGAGTGTGAAATAAAGATACAACATAGGTATTGAATTGTGTTGTGCCTTCTTTCATTCTCTATCTTCTTCTTCATAGTGAATTTTTTTCTGCTTGTTTGAAATACTATAGAAGTACTCCTTTAAGATCCCACTGGGGATATTTGAAAGCCAAAGGACCAATAACATTCAAGAGAGGCAGTTTTGTTAGGGTAGTGCACATACTGCCAAATGTGGTCCTAAAATTGTACACGTAAACCTGAACACATTTTGTTAAGTAGAGATGCGGTGAATTTCATTTCCATTGATGGTACGGCGTGTCTAGGTGAGGTGTTGATATGTAGCGTCATCTTTTTACATACGCAGGCACAAAGCCAAGACTACGAGCACTACAGTACACAAGTGCAATTAAGTCATTTGTTTCAAATACAAATATTAATAACTACAATATCATGCTTGATATGGGATAATCAAACGATAAATAAATAAAGCAGGATAAGCTTCATGCACGTGAAATGTCCTTTCAGTGTTTCAATTGATTTCAACTTAGAACTATAAAATGATATTTTATTATGTGTATCAGATTCAGTAACTAAAAGTGGGAAACTGTTAACGTCATTTGGTTATTTTTTTTCTTTTTCCAGACCAAGTCTATGCAAGGTCAGCATTGCTGACCCAGGGAATATAAGATATCTGTGCTCGCGTTGTAGAACGGAGTGGGGCTGGATTCGTGTACCGATATGGTATTACTGGATTCCACGTTGGATTTGGATCCGCGCACCTGTCGGGTGTTGCTGCGACATAAGGAATCAGTGGTGGTGCTAACGCACAGGCCACGTGACGTCAAGTCGTCTGATCGTCTTCAAGAACAATAGTTATATACCGCTTTGAAGCACTGAATTACAAGCCAATATATATTTTTGACAGAACAATCGGTACAAAATTCTCATCTCCTGTAATCTACCGCGTAACTTAGTCTGAAATTCAGAAAAGGCTACACTTGGACTTCTGTCAATTTGCATTTAAAGCAGACCATTTGTTTTAGGCCCACTGAGCTTTCATCTGTATTACCAGTTTAGAAAGAAGCGATAGGCGAATAAAGAAATTAAAGATCAAAGGCAGTTATGTTGTTGGTTTTCAAATAAAGCTCACGGTGACTTAGACAGTACAATTGTTTTTCCTTTTTGCAATAACTGTGCAATACGCGCTACCAACTACACAATGTTGTTTTGCCTACAAAGATATTTAGACTTCATATTTAAATGGGGGGGGGGGGGGGGGGGGGGTCTCAAGAACCCCCCCCCCCCTTCCCCA